ATGGGCCACCATGCCTGGTTTTGGCAGCCAGCTTGGCACGGGGCCAGCCTGCATGTGGTACCAGAGATTGAACCCGGGTGTTTGTGCTTGCCAGGCAGGCGCTTAGATCACCAAGCTATCTCCCCAGCCCTAAAGTCATTATTTTTTATGCCATGTAATATATTGTCAGCACTCAGAACCAGCAATTTGGACATTATAAATATTACAAATTAATATCCAATTAGAACCTGATTTATGTGAAAAGCTCATTAAGCCAGCAGCCCTGCATAATTGTCACTTGTACAAGAGACAGAACATTGAGTTAGTCACTTCTTGGAGAAATGGGAACTAGTAATTTTTAGCCAAGTGGAATGGTAAGCAGAACAGAAATTAGACAAATCACTGCACAGTTCCATGTTACAGGGAGCGTTGTCTATCACAGGGCAGATTTTATGTTCTCCAAGTTGTAACATGTGGTAGACTAATAAGCAACACAACAAACAATCATTCTCTTAAGGTTACATAAAGTAATTGGTGTTGTAAGGAAGTGATTACAGACAGAGACGTAAATATTTTAGAGAGAGGAGAATAACTTCTTTGCAGCGTTCATTCTAAGGATAGCACAGCACGCAGACGTCAGGGAATGTTTCATGTGCTGCGTCCTAGAAAAGACGCGCGTGCCCCGAGAGAAGGCCATTTTGTCCTTTCCGATCCCAGACAATCAGGAAGATTTTTCTTGCTAGTCAGGCATGGCACCCTATGCAGTGGGATAGTTCTCACCACACAGAAGCAGAGCCAGGTCGCACGGCACCCAAGCGTGGACACACGGGGTGAGCCCCTTGCCAACGCAGAAAGGCTCTGTTAAGGTGATGGATGAATAATCCCTGGTAGGCTTTTGCCTCTGCACTAGAGGAGAGGCAAAATCCTCTTAGAAACATCAATCTTGGCCAGTGTGATGGTGCATACCTGTCATCCCAGCACTCAGAGACTGGTGCAGGAGGATCACTGTGAGTTCAAAGCCAGTCTGGGTTACAAAGTGAGTGCAAGGCCAGCCTGAACTGAATAGCAAAACCCTGTC